ATTATATATATATATATATATATATATATATATATATATATATATATATAATCGTATAAATAATATAATTGTAATAATTGAATAAATAATGTAATTGTAATAATCGTATAAATAATATAATTGTAATAATCGTATAAATAATGTAATTGTAATTATTGTATAGATAATATAATAATAATAATAATAATAATAATAATATAATTGTAATAATTCTAATCTAATTTTCTCGTCCCGCGTGAGCAATGACGTGATTAATTTCCCGAAAGCCATGGAATGTCAAGTTTTAACGAGAATGAACACCGCCGACATATTTTGCTGTACAATTAAATCGTAAACGTTCACTTCTGTCAACTTGACACTCCATAATTTTCAAACAATTAACCACTTTATATTCCTCGCCAGTTTCGGAGAAAACCAAAGCGATCGAACGACGTCCAAAACACAACTATTAAACAATAATTATCTCGCCGGGAATTCAAATGAAACGTCGCTAAATATCAAGCGAGATTGGTCTACGATTCGAAGAAGATTTATCTTCGTCCTTTCCAGTTGGAAGCGGTTGAACATCACGACTCGACTTCTAGATCTTCGCTTCGTTTCCAAGCGACATTTCCAGAAGAAGATTTATCTTCGTCGTTCGCGGTCGGCGATTCGGCGCGAAGAAAAATCGTACGAACCAAACCCGACTGTTTTCACAAGGATAAAAGATCCGTTCGGTATGTGTATATGTATTTGGAAAAGCGTGGTTAACCTCGAGGTAAAAGCCTAACCGTGAAAGCCTAAAAGGCGGGACACGTGGTATAACCGGACAAGCGGATCGCGATCCGCAATCCAGTTTCGCGGGGCGAATCGCAGCGCAAGCGTTCTCTTAGTAGTATCGTTCAAAGTACTTACATAACTAATCATGGGTATGTTGCGGGACTGAGCGACTATGGCTTCGACGTAGCACGAGCCTTCTGGTCCAAAGAAGGCAGCAACCCCGTCGCAGATCATATCGATCATTGCCTTGGTAGCTTCCACGGTCTCTCCCCTCGTGTCGTTCCATCGCATCACCAGCCTTACGTTCGGTAGTATGTTCGGATCATTGTTAATCTGCAACACACAATCGTCGTCGAATTAGAATGCCGTCTCTCGACCGTGATTCATTAACGGTAAACCTACCGAGCCGGTCGAAATCACCGGCTTCGCGTTTTTCTCGCTGAAATTTAAAGTTGCTTTCTCGCCGTTGTCGAGAATGCGTCGCGCGCTTATGAAAAAATAACTTCATTTCGTATTTTGTCCTAACCGGTGGAAATGAGGAATGCTGTACTTTTGAACATTTCATTAAAAAGAACAACTAACTAACTATTTGGTTCTAAATCGCCGATCAACACCGTCGACCGGGAGAACGAGATTTGTTATTTCAGTGAACAAAGGTCGATGAAATGTAGCGAGAAAAAGATTCATGTATCCTGAAACGTCAGAGAATGTGCATGGAAAGTGACGAGAAGTTTTATTAATGTTTTACGTTATAAAATAAATGGAGAAAATCATGCTTATTTCAACGATTTATTTGAGACTCTCCGCTTAAAACACGGTTATATTATACAGGGTATCCCAAAAATGTCTCGTAATCCGAAAGTGGCGGGTTCCTTAGGTCATTCGAAGCAACTTTTTCCTTTACAAAAATTTTCTCCGAGGCACCGTTAACGAGATATTAACGAAAAACAGTGACCAATGAGAGGCGAGCTCGGCTGGCGCGAGGCGACCGAGCCAATGAGCGGAACTGGGCTTTGTGCGCTGGTTGCCTGGACCGCCTCGCGTCAGCCGTACTCGATTCTTATTGGTCACTGTTTTTCGTTCATAACTCGTTAACGGTGCCTCGGAGACAATTTTTGTAAAGGAAGAAGTTGCTTCAAATGATCCGAGGAACCCGCCATTTCCGGATTACGAGACATTTTTGGGACACCCTGTATATACACGATCCGCAATGAGAAAAAAAACGCGAGGATAAAAAAGATCGGAACTTTCCATCGGTGAATTAAAGTCTCTAAATTTCTGGCGATCGGGAGGCCAAAAATTCGCCGCGCGATCATCGACGATTGCTCAACGCGTTACGCGAGGCGTGCCTTTCGTCATCTCGAATTAGAATGACTGGGACACGCGGCTCCGATCCTCGCACGCGAGTCGCAGGACTCTCGCGCACTTGTCTCCCCCCGATTGTTTCCCGAGGCTCGCCCCCCTCGCCCCCTCCTGCTTTAATGGGGATAATTACGTTACCGTAACTCCTAATCATGAATATTCATCGGTGCTCTAACGATGACGGACACTGTAAACGGTCCCGGGCGAGCGCGTGCGCGTACCGCGGGGCCCAGGAGCCCGCGTAGGATGACGAAGCGATGAGGTAACAATTACCGAGCGTAATTGGAACAATGGCTCGCCGATCGGCGGCGATCGGTTTTCGCCGAGAGCGGTGCCCCGATAAATTCGCGCGGCTCGCGGTGACTTTTAGCGGCATTTATTCGCCGCCTCGAACACGATCCTCGCTCGTAGGAACGCCGATTAAAGTTCAATTCATAATGTTACCCGTCCTGTTCGCCGGCTACAAGGACCGTTTCTACGACTCTCACGTTTGTATCCGACTGTATGCGAGCCCGCCACGCTCGGTTATTATGCAAATCCGAATTCCAAGGAACAATGCTCAACCCCTCCTCCCTCCCCCCTCTCCGACCCTACCGAGTAGCACAACTTCGACAATTTACGTGCTCGGCAATTCAGCGTCGAAAGTGTAACCGTCGATAAATCCGTACACAGCGAGAAAAGTTTCGACGAGTTCGATCTTGTTGTTACAGCAGTTTGGTAATAACGATCGACGATATTTTTCGCATTTTATCGACATTTTGTAAACGGTCGACGCTTTGACGGACATGTCGATATGCTTAAAAGTTTTTTTTTATCGATTTAAAGTATTCTTGCCGATTAAATTAAAGCTGCAAATCGAAATTATATGGCATTAATTATTTTTTGATATTCTTATCTCTTGAGATACTTGACAAAATTAAGAACTTGCAATGGA